AGTGTTTAAGTGGGGATGGGGATAGAGGAAATGTGGGAGGAAAAGTGGTTGGGGAAGCGTCAACCAAAACTAAACATGCAAATGGCACAGGGAAGCTTGTGACGTTGTAAGTAAACAAAAAGCAAGAAAGTTAGAGAGATGGCTCAGTGGTTAAAGCATTCGCTGCACAAGTGTGAGGACCAAAGGTCAGATCCCCAGAAGCCATGTAAATGCTGGGTAGACACAGCAGACAGCCTGTGCTTCCAGCTCCAGGAAGGAAGGCTGAGGTGGGGCAAGCTGGCATAGCCGGTCTAGATGTGACACTGAGCTCTGGGATGGACCGAGAGATCCTGTCTCAAGAAATGAGGTGACAGTGATCAAGGAAGACAACCATTGGCATCCTCGGGCCTCCACTGAGAGTGCACACATGTGCATACACATGCCCCACATACATGCAAACATACATACACACACATGCACACAAAGTGATAAGGTAATAAGAGATAGAGCCCAGAGTCAGAACTGTGGTACTTTCTAGAAGTACTGGCTTTGACTTCCTAGAGTCTGAGCGTTTCCTCATCTGTAACCCAGAGTCCCCAACACACAAACACAGCGCCTGCCGTCACCGGAGCTGAGAACCCTTCACTGATTTTTTTTTTTTTTTGAAACATTTGCTTTTTGTATGAGCTCTAGTAAAATAGAACTCAAAAATCAGATTTCTGCCTCTAGAGTCAAGAGTCTTAGCAAATGTATTCAGTTCATGAATCGCATTGTAAAAGAACGAGGGAAGAGAAAAATGACGTTCTAGTTCTCCACTCTCAAGACGCGAGTGAAAATGAGCACCGCGACCCAGGGTTTGAGAGACGGTTGCCGAGAGGAGTGCAGTGCAAAGCAAGCACGAGTTTCAAAAAGAGGCAGAATTAAGGTCACATCACATTCATCCAAGAACTGCTTTTCTCACTTTGAGCAAGGAGCTGGATGCTTCTAAAAACTGTTTTCTTCATAGAGAGGAAAGCTATGAACTATAAAACATAGTTTTATTCAGTCTACTTTTCCATATTATGCAAGGCTCATTCTTCTTTCATACATAACTAAGAAAAAACATCACCAGGGCTGGGAATGGATCTCTGCAGGCAGGGTACTTGCCAGGGATGTATGAGCTCCTGAGTTTGGTCCCCACAAGCACAGAAACACTGACAGGGTTCGCATGCACACGAGGTAGAGGGGCACACACCTGTAACTTTAGCACTCAGGAAGTACAGACAGGAGGATTAGAAGTTCAAGGTCATCCTTGGCAACACAGTAAGTTCAAGACCCCGTTAGATGAAACCCCGTTTAAGACAGAAAAGAAAAGATTGCCAATTGCACACAGTGCTTTCCTGTAGTGTAGAATTTTTATTTCATATTTCTTTTTCTTTAAGATGGAGTTCTTATTATATTGCCCAGGCTAGTCTTGAATTCATGGTCCTCCTGCCTCAGTTTTCAAAATAGACAAGATTATAGGATTGTGTCTCTTTGTCCAGCTCTGATCTCATATTTACTGAAAGAGCTATTTAGTTATATTTATAAAGGTAAAAAGAAAAATACTATACAAAGAAAATATTAATATTCCTCAAATATAACATAGTGACTTTTGATTCTGTCACAACATCCACATCTCTATCAGTTATCACCTCCATGCCAGTGGTTCTCAGCTGGTGGGTTGCAACCCCTACAGGGGGTCACATACCAGATATTTACATTCTGATTCATTTGAGTAGCAAAATTATAGTTGTAAAGTAGCAACAAAATGATTTTACGGTTGAAGTCCCTGCAACACAAGGAACTGTATTAAAGGGCCACAGCATTAGGAAGATTGAGAACCATTGCTCTACGCCATCAAAAGCATTGATAATATTCATTTCTTTTGTGCATCCACATGTGTATATGTGCCTTAAAGATGCATGTGTATGAATATGCACAAGTATGCATGTACATATAGAGGCCAGAGGTCAACCTCAGATGCCATTTCTAAAACTCTCTACACTCTCTGTTTTGAGGCAGAGATTCCCAGTGGGATCTGGGTCTCACCAACAGACTCGGCTCACCAGCCAGAGAGGCCCACGGATCCATTCATCTTCACCTCTCTAGCACTGAGATTTCAAGCATGCAGCACCATGCCTTGTGCTGACTTGGGTGCTAAGAATTGAACTTGAGTCTTCGTGCTGTGCGGCCATCACTTCGTTGAGAGACAGACACAGCACTGGGGGCCCTCTTTCCTCAAAAGACATAAGTACAATTGCCTTCAAGATCTTCTTCCAAGTCCTGCTTTGATGTTGTAACTTTCATGCCTCAAGAGACAGCAACCAGGTAACAACAGTTTGCCTGTGAGCTGCCTTTGTGCACAGAGACTACGCTATATCATCTGCTGAATGATGCATTCTGAATCCAGAGACGTTAGGTATGGGAAAAGTGCATCTTAACATGGTGAAATTTGGGTAACACTTGAATCTTCAAAGACCTACTGAGAGGATTAATAAAATACATTAGAAGACTTAGTGATACGCTAGCATACACACAAGCAAATGGTGGCCATTATATAGGAGTCACAACAGTGCTACTCTGACTCCTCCACAGGGTGCCGGAACATTCTGAACTAAGTAATCACAAACTCTCAGTCTTTTACCTGTCCTACTTCAAGTTTAGCATTTTTGTAGATGACAAACTTTAAAAGTGCAAAGTAACCATAGCCAAATAAAATATCCATTTCATACTCTCAGCTCCTCCATCCCAAAGAACCCAACAGAATCTCATGGCTCTCCCTGTCATGTAGAAGCCTGGCAGCACCACTGCAGTGTGACCCTCTTTTCCTTTCCTGTTTCCCATCTCACCTTCTCTGTCCTCGTGGACACTCTGTCCACTGCTCATGCTTCACCACAGCCCTGTGGCCCCAGATCCACGGTAACTGGCCTGCTTTAGAGAGTCAGGTTAGGCAAAAACGCAGAGAGCTATGTCAATTAAAATATCACATTTTCTTTTGACAGTAAATGTAGACTAGCCTTAGGAACTCTTGGGATTTTAGTTGTTGACTTAGGTCTCCAGTAAGGAGTCTGAGGACTCACCATCTACAGAAAGGAACAGGGAAAGATGCCCCTCTGAGCTTCTCCACCCAGAACAAGGCAACAGTCCCAGGCTGAGCCTGCTTTGAACCTTCCATTTAGGAGACCACATCTTCTCTGAGAACTCCCTAACATGCTCTAACTTTTCAGACAGGCCTTGTAGTAAACTTAGACTAGGGTTTGGAGTGGAAATATTCTAAAAACACCTGCTAAAGGAAACAGGGTAGGAGGTGGGGGTGGACAAGGGTCACACACCAGGTAGGTCAGGCAAGGAAATGTCCAATAGGTCAAAGTTTTTCCATCTTGCTTTACTGGCGTTTTAGATGGGGAGGATTCCCTGAACATGAAAGGAAATTTATCTTCCCTGACTTCTGTGAAACTAGATTCTAGCCAGGACCCATGTGCATTACCACTTCATAACGACCATCAAAAATGTCTCTGAGCATTGCCAAAATGTCCCATGGGGAAGGGGCACAAAACTGTTCCTGGTAAGAACCACTGGCGTAGAAGAATATCAGCAAAGTTCAGAGTTTATTGTGAGACACCAACAGCCCCCAAAGGAATCTAAATGAGGAGGATCAGTTCCGTCAGAAAGTTTTCAGGAGTGGTTACTGGCATTGGCTTTAGCTCTGAACTCATCCCCCCTCCTCCCTCTCTCTTGCATTTTTCCTCCTGTTCCTTCCTCCTTGCCCTCCATCCCCCATCTTCCTTTTTCTCATATTGAGGATGTAACTTTGGCATGCAATGAGTAACCCTTTGAAACAGAAGTTTTTGCAATGTCTGCATAAACAATTTTCAAATATCTTTATATTTTTAATTGTGTATGTGTGCTTGCATGTGTATGTGGAGGCCAAAGGTCAACCTCAGCTGTTGCTCCTTGGGTGCCAACCATCCCGTTCCTTGAAAACTTTTCTCATTGGACCAGTGAGCCCGGAGGACCCAGTTGTCTCAACCTCTCCAGCGCTGGGTGACAAACATTCCCCACCACATGTGTACCACCATGCCTGGCTTTTTTACCCGAGTGTTGGAGATCCAACTCAGGTCAACACACTTGCCTGGCAAGCACTTACCTAACTGAGTTATCTCCCCATTCAGACCAGTCCTCTGAGCCTCTGGGGTAAAGGCGCAAGGAAAACAGAGGACCCGCCTCCTCGTCTACTCACCAATGTGCATCCAACCGTGGAGAGAAAGAGTACCGAAGAAAAGCTAAGTTCAACTGGTGTATTTGAACCTTTCAGTCTTTCTGGGTATCAGCTTATACTGAATTTCCATTTTGAGAATCTAGCGAGCACCAACATATTTTTTCATTTTGTGATAGAGTTTTAGGAAGGAAATGGGAAGATAAAACCCTTCACAGTGGATACAAGCTTCTGTATGCACAAGCCTTGTCCTGCTGCAGATCCTGGCACTGCTATTGCTCCTGATTCCTATTCAGGAAGCCTGAGTGAACCCAGTGGTTTGCATTCTTAGAAAGTAACCCCATTGGTTCTGGTCTTCAGACAATCCTTTGAGATAATCCAACACCGAGTGGAGGTTAGAATAGAATTGCTGAAACTAGTTAGAGATGCATGATTTGCCAGCAACGACAGTGTGCAACTTTCTTCAATGAACATAAAGTTTTAAAAAATTGCTTCCCAAGGAAGAGCTCAGGAAATAATAGGCCAGCATCCCAGGGCTATAGAAATGTCTCTAGACTTGATTCAAGGACAGGCATCTGGCAGCTGTCCCTGCTTTTGCTTGATGCAACTCTGGGTGGAGGTATGAAAGATTAGTGAAGGGGAGGGATTCCTCACACGGATAAATCACCCTGTGAGGAAAGTGGGTAATTGCTTGGCGTTTAGGTCATTATGCATGCAAATTAGAGGAGAATGTATATATGTGGAGCCAAATGAAACAAAACAATTGTTAGCATATTGAGCCACCATGCCGGTCACACCACCATTGCCAGTCGCCAGAATGTAAGTACCAGCAATGACATGGGTTTCAACTGATGCTCTGACAGTCACACTGAAGCAACAATGTTTCCTTTGGAGGGTGCTTTGGACATTAAATGAGGGGAAATAATTTTTTCTGGTTGTTTCTATATTTCTCTCACACTAAAAACCAGAAAACATTTATTATAGAACCAAATGAGTTTAAAAAATAATTTCTCTTTTCTAAATTCTTGGGGTTTTTAGTTCTGATTTTTATTTTTCCTTTAAAATATTATTAATGGAAATTTAGTATTCAGTGTTAATATTGATTGTTCCCAGCATGTGACTGTGGGATTGTTTCTTCGTTCAGTACTAAAGAAAATGAATGACACATTGATGGTGACGGGAGCAAGGAAAACTCTCGATGGCCTCCTACTTTGTATAGCTTTTCGTGTTTGTGTTGTAGCCATTGTCTGGCACAGCTGGTGTTCTTCTGGACCTTAGCAGATCCATATTTCAGGGGGTTTCTGGTTTTATTTTTAGTTCTAGTCTACTTCTTGTGAGCCTCAGTGTGATGACTTCCGGGTGGTCATATCTTAAGCTCGCTATGTTCTGGGAGGATGAATAGAGATATTTTCAAAGGTTTCTAAACTCAAAAAAAAAAAAAAATCCATGAGTGGTGTGAAAGGTGAGCTTGGGTCAGAGAGTGTGAATTCAGTAAGAAATGATCAAGCCACAGTCTCTGCTTCTGTGTCATCTGTCACTGAGGGAGAGAGTGACACCCCCCCCTCCTCTGGTGCCATGCCGAGTTCTAGACCCAACAAGGAAGACCTACCTGTGTGGATGAGTTTTGAGGAAGGCTGTTGCCAGGCAGGAGTGAATCATATTAGGAAGGGAGGGGAAAGGCTTCGTACACGAATGAGTCTCAGCTGAGTGTGTAGCAAGAAAACCGCCTCCAAAGGTGTAACACTGAGGATGTCTTATGATCCCTAGAAAAAGTCTGAATTTAAGTCTCTGAAAAGCTCAGTGACACTGGTAAAAGACACACAACCCTGCTGGAAAACTGAGGCAGGTCGGCTAGAGCAGATACAGAAGGATCCATGAGAGAGGCTAAGATGAAGCCAGCCTCCGAAGGGAATGTGGGGAGATGGTGGGGACGACTGGAGAGCACGGAACAGACCGCGTGCCAGCAGAGACTGTTCGGATGTACCCCGCAGCCTGACTGTTGGTAAGAACAGTCATCTCAGCTCTGTGAATTGTTTCCCAGTCCCTGAATATTTCAGTACTGCTCAACCACTGAAATGCTGCCGGGAGGGCCTCACAGCAGGGTCACTGCTTTCCTGACCAATAGCCCTGAAACCATGGCAGGGAAAGTTTCTCAACCCAGACGTCTTTGTCATGGCGCCTCACCACCACACCCCACTTCCACCTGGAACTTGGGGGATGAGTGACCAAGGATCCTCCTCCCAGAGATTCCCCTCCCACCTTCTGAGACCATCATTCCCTGTTATCCCACTCTTGGGAAATGGCTTTCTTGTTGAGTGACCTCTTTTTAAAGTCTGTCCCAGTGATGTTGTTCCATCCAGCTCGGTCAATTATCTAACTTGGTTATTTTGTGATTTCCCCAAATCTGCTTCATTATATATAATTGTTTATATACTTAAAGACCTTTATTTGAAAATTTTTTCCTCTCCATTTAGTCTAAAATCGATTTTGCCTGATTCTGATTTTCCTCTTTGACCACAGAGAGTGGTGGTTTCTTGTATTACCAACTGACCGGTGATCGCGGGGTCTCAGGCCCCTCAGCGGTCGGCATTCTCCATCTCTTCCATGTCCACATGTGCGCCACTGTCCTAGCCATCTCGCTTCAGTATTCTGTTCCTGAACTGAAGTCCTCTTCTCAATAGTCCCACCCTGTCATCAGTAAGCCAGGACTCACAGAACAGACCCTCTCAGTTCTGATTTTCAATAGTAGTATACCTAAGGTCAAGATAGAAAACACAAAGAGCTCAGAAATGAGGCAGGATGAATTGAAAAGAAAGAGATTTTCCTTAATTAGCAAATAGGGTCAGCCCCACCTTTTTTTTTCATGGAAAATAATTCTCTTTCCAAAAATCAAAATCAGGTTGACTGTTACCAGAATGTCCCTTCTGATCTAGTCACCAGGTACTGTATATAGCCACCTGTAACGTCTATTCTTGCATGAATAAAGGCCTGAAGGCTTCCCAGCATCCTTTGAGAGCCCAGCCATCTTCTGCCTTTCTCTGAAATCTGTATCTGTGATCCTAGAGAGACAGCCTTTGCTTCCTCCAGGTCAGCCCACAAGGAAGTCTTGTTCCTTGTGGCTATCAGAGCTTATTAGGTGTGCCTTCCACCCACATGCGGAAACCCCAGCTGTTACCGCACTCAGACTCATGTGGAGCAAGCGGGCTGTAATTGGGAACAGAACGGCTGTGACTTACAAGCGTTTGCCATGCTCTGGCCTTGATCCTGCCCTGATGAACTCAGTCCATGCTTCCTATTTTGGGAAGACTGAGTAAATGGCAGTGGGATGTTTGGTGCACCGAGGTTATAGTGGACAGTTCTGTATGCAACCAGCTGGGAAAGGTTTATAGTTTTATCAACAGGGACAAAATGATGAAATGCAATCAAAACAATTTTTATTAGCGTATAACTCCGTTTCCATAATTAATTCTTTTTAAGTAGAATGTCCAATAACATTTAGAGTACTCACAAGGTGGCTTGACTTTCACTTCTGCCCAGTTCCAAAACAGTTTAAGTACCTCCAAATGAAAACCGAATAACACATGTAAAATGATTTTAAACTAACTTTGGAACTTATATATGATTTACATAGTGTTTGTAATCTGTGCTAGATTTCTATTTTTTTTCATCCTACTGCTCCAATATAGTCCATTTTATGTTAAATATATTTTCACGGAAGTGAGAATATAATGCATTACATGGGAGAAAACCTTCCTAGTCCAAGAAAACCATATTTCTAGAAAACTTCTAGATAGCCTAAATCTATATAGAAGACACTCTTCAAGAAAGGAGGTGTAGGCAATAAAGGTAAAAAGTTGTTTAAAGTGATCAAGGCAGGAGTTTGGAGGAAATGAAAATAAAGCTAGAATTAGAAGAAAGAAACCAAGAAGCCCAGTGCGTGTCTGTGGAATGAAAGAATGAACAAAAAGTGTCTATTCATCTAGAGAAATGGGTGGATAAATGGCTGCCTTGGAAACAGATGCAGGATGCAGGCGGCATCTCAGGCTATTTCCATTTCCCCAGGAGGGAAGAAGACTTTAAAGGGCTCGCTGGATCATTGCTATCTACTACCCTGTAAAGGCCAACAGGAAAGATGCATAGAGAATCTATGATTCTGTGTCCAAATATTTATACAAATGGGAAAATGATTGAAGTTTCCGTAACTTTCGTCATCATCTTATCTAAAATCTAGAGATAGTAGAATGTAACTTTTAAAATTGTTTTTCAATCAGTATGCTAAGTAATGGGCATTTTCTTTTTTTTATTGATTTTTATTGAGTTCTACACTTTTTTCTGCTCCCCTCCCTGACTCTCCCTGTCCCCTTCAGCTCTCCCCCAAAGTCCCCATGCTCCCAATTCAGGAGATCTTGTCTTTTTCTACATCCCATGTATATTAGATTTATGTAAGCCTCTCTTAGTGTCTGCATTGTTGTCTAAGTTCTCTGGGATTGTGGTTTGTAGGCTGGCTTTCTTTGCTTTATGTTTAAAAACCACCTATGAGCGAGTACATGTGATAATTGTCTTTCTGTGTCTCGGTTACCTCACTCAAATTAATATTTTCTAGCTCCATCCATTTTCCCGCAAAATTCAAGATGTCCTTATTTTTTTCTGCTGTGTAATACTCCATTGTGTAAATGTACCACATTTTCCTTATCCTTTCTTCGGTCGGGGGCATTTTCATAACACTTTTTCTTGTTGAACACTTTTCTGCAGCCCCACACCCCACCTCCTCCCCCTCCTGCCCTCTTCCTCTTTCAGTAGTTCACCTCTGATTCCATGTACCAGGTATAGCACAGCACTGAAGGGGAAAAAACTGATTGCATTCCAATACTTAAGGCCAGAAGGAGAAGGGCCTCTTTTACTGTATAAATCCTTGTTTATAGGCTTGGACTGGGCCTCGTGTGGCTGTAAATTTCCATGACTGTTTCTGAGTCAATCTTGGGGAAACCCCTCCTAGTTTGGATCTCTGGATGTGTTAGGTGCATTTTTCTCCCTTGTGACTACTAGTCAAGATATGTTATTAATTTTCAAGTTTGTCTGGTCAACTCCTGGACCAGAAGAATGTCTGGAATGACACATATCTTGTACCCATCGGAAGTATAACCAAGTTCATTAAGGCACCAGCAAACTTTCATCAACACAATAATTAACTTAATGGGGTTTAGCAAGGCCTAGAAATGAGTCGATTCCAGTTCATTTGTGCTTAAAGTGAAGGCTTGGGGGCTGGCAAGATGACTCAGGAGATAAAGGTGCTTGTGGCCAGGCCTGCTGATCTGAGTTCAATCTCCAGGCCCACGTGGTAGAAAGAGAGACTCAACAGCCTTAAGTTGTCCCCTGAGTTCCACAAGAGTGCTGTGGCACTGGTATGCCCACACGCACAGATCCATAATCACACACACATAAGTAAATAAAAAATTTGAAAAAAAAATGAACACGGTCCCAGAAATGGCTCAGCCTGTGAATGTGTTTGTCTTGCAAGCTTGAGAGCTGGAGTTCAATTCCCAGATCTCGCAGTGGGAATAGAGAATAAATTCCCCAAAGTAATCCTCTGCCTCCAAGGGATCTGACACCTTCTTCTGGCATCCACTGCATGTGCACACAGATGACACACATAAACTCATTCATACGTTAAAAATAAATAAACATTCTTAAATTAACAGTTATAGAAGACAGTCTACGCCAGGGACAGGGAGTGCATTTGGCGTGTTTTTGTGTTTGGCAGGAATTTTCTCCTCCCTGGGGAAGCCCCCCACCTCACCCCCTTTACTGGTCATTCTTGT